GTCTCTATTACTTTAAACCAAAACTCATTCTTGCTTGTTTCTTATTCAACAAGTTGCATCCTTTTACTGTATCTGTTCCTTTAGGTTTTAAATTTTTTATTAATCCAGTATTTTTCCTTGCACATTAAAAAAACCTCATACCTATTAGCTATCTTCATATTTTTCTTTTATATACAACCTACAACTTTTCAAGTCTTTAGTTAACCATTTCCTAGTATTTTTACTCATAACTTAATAGTGGTTGCTTGAAATCTTGTTAAAAGAAATTGAAAATGTATAAATATATGCCAGTATTTAATAAATAGTAAATGTAAGCATAAAATTATTATACATAAAGTATTATAAATTTTTTTCTAGCCCCGGCTATCAACCGCTGCTTAATCTTATAGTTTAGTAAGGGCCGGGTTTGAAAAAAGTCTCATTTTTAGCCGGAGTTGGGGCCCATATCAAAGTGTCTTTCCAAATACTCAAGGCAATTACCAGTTAATGCCAATTTTAACTTGGTCATATTGTCAACATTTCTTCTGCAAGAGAACCATGGCTTGGCGTAGTGATCTATTATAAAATTGCATGCCTCTATTATTGATTCTTTTTTTGTCTGGGTCTAAAGCATATATTTCAAGCATAGATAGATAGCTCTTGAATTACATTGTGCATTTGAAATAGGCCCTGGTTTAAAAAAAATAATTTCAAGTAAATTAATTGTCTCCATAAGACTTTCATCCTTTACTTAACAAATCCAGCTCCGTATAATCACTCCTGTCCTGTCCTATTTTTTATTTTTAATAACTGGCCCATTAGGCTTGTATGTTCATCTTACTAATGAAGAATTGTTACAAATAATTTAAACTTTGCAAACTATGCAAAGCATGAAATGGTTTTCAAAAAAAATATTTTTATTAAATAGTTCAACTAGTGTTAATTTAATTTGAATCTTGTTGAATTAAAACATAAGTACACATGTAAAAGAAATTATATTATACTCTTTAATATATTGAATAATGATTGTTTCCTTATTAAATGATCATTAATAGTAAGTTGTTACTTTATATAAAAGAGTATTGCTTAATTATTTAAAAAAATTATAATAGGGCCAAGTTTTATTTTAAATTGTCTTCTCCATCAGTCTTCTCAAAGTATCTAAAATGCCATGGCCAAGTTGTCTCAACTAAATATTATATGTGTGGTCAAGAGTAGAGTGCAATCTCACTCGCTTTTTGATCAAGCCTGATGTAATATAGGTTTATATTTCAGGGACCAGAGGTTTAAATTAGGATTCTCAATTCACAAATTGTAAACAACCTTCAATAAACTTCTGTTGCATCTCTCTCTCTCTCTCTCTCTCTCTCTCTCTCTCTCTCTCTCTATATATATATATATATATATATATATATATATATATATATATATATATATATATATATATATATATATATATATATATATATATATATATAATATATATATATATATATATATATATATATATATATATATATATATATAAGGGTGACAAATAAATGCTTTCAACCTTTTATTTGGTTCCATTTAATGAAAAAATGATATTAGAAAATTTTTGATGCATTATGTTAATGTTTAGGGGTTGCTCAGCAAGTTTTTTAATTTTGCAAGTTTGCTCGAGCACAAAATTTTTCATTTTTCACAATTTCTCATCGCTTATTACATATATTCTACTAATTATGTTGAGAATATTATCAATATTTTATTATTTCCTAATCTTGTGAGTCATTATGCATAATACACTTTGTTATTTTTTTTTAGAAAATTAATAAGTTAAAAATAAGTTGGCTGGAATTATCAAAACCCATTGTAATACTTCATCATCCACTTAAGTTATTGCATCAGTATTGTACTACTGCCGAAATTAGTGCATCATCCTGTAATTCCAAATGAGTTCATTGTCTTGAATGAAAATACATTTTAAAAACACATAATTCGATAGATATTTTCGAAGTCTATATAAAATGGAGACCAGAATTCAAAATGAAGTATGGTGTGTTTGTCAAGCTACAGCTGTGATCACAGGACAAAAGTTGCCATCTAAAAGCCAAGTTTTACAAACTTATTTTTTCTTTAAAAAGAAAACAACAATGTAAGAGAAAAGTGCAGGTCTTGTGGCAGATCTGATTCTAGACTTTTGGCAAAGAGCTAGAGTTCCGACAAAGCAATGTTATGTTATAACACATGTTGAAAAACTTGTTGAGAAATAAAGGCCGCAAAACAGAAACTCAGCAAAAAAATGAAGAAACTTTTTCTCAAGAAACTGAAGAGCTATTTGATATTGCTCATGAAGATGTTTTAAAATTAATCACAATAGAAGAAAACAAGACATTTCTTATATTACAAAGAGAAGGAAGAAAAGACTACATGAGTTCAGTTAATTGTGAATTGTTCAAACAAGAACAGCGTATTTTAGACAGAAAAAAAAAAAAATGAAGAAAGAGAAACGAAAGAGCTAAATAGAAAAGAAAAAAAAATGTGTTCAACAGTCACAGACCCAGTTTTGACAGAATCAGACTCCTTTCAGGGTACTGATAATGAAGTAGATGTCTTTGTTCCATCAATAGCAATAAAAACTGAAAAAGAGGGGAAAAAAAATTAAAAAGAAAGTGATTACCAGCATTTTGTTCAGCTCTTGATCGTTTGAAAATTGTTCTGGTTCCTTGGTTTTGTCTACTATTTGTCAAGGGTTAGGTGCCAATATTGAACATGTTTCAACATCATATAAATCTCTTCGATGTGTACATATTGAAAATTGTAAAGAAGTTGCAAAAAGAATCATTTTAGAATTCAAGCCACAAGTTCCATTAACTGTTGATTGGGACAGAAAATTGTTACCTGATTTGAACAGCAGAGATGAAGTAGATGGACTAACTATATTAGTGACAGGATATGTTTTGATACTACTTAACTATGTTTTGATATTACTTCAAGCAACACCGGTATACATTCAGGCGCTTGTACCTTGCTGGGAAAAATTATTGGAAAGTCTTTATTATACACAGCCTGTCCACACCATTTTCAGTTCATGAAGTGATTTTATTCAATGTTTACAAAACTCGCTTTGGACCATCTTCTGGTCCAGAGGTCAAGTTTTTTCTACGATATTGTGATCAGTGGAGTCTATTAAATATACTTGTTTTGACATAAATTTTATTTAACCAAGAATGAAGAGAAGAATCTTCTATGATTTTTAATTTTCAATTTTGATTTACATAGAACTCTGGTTTCGGGCTCCCATCTCTTCATCTGCTCCTCACAATAACCTGACACTGAATAAAAAGTTGTATAATTTCAAAATATTTGACAAAGAAGTTGCTGAATCTGTCATAAAAGCCATTGCAAGACATTTATGGCATTTAACTGAAGAACTTGTTTCTTTTTTTAGCAATGATGATGATAACCTAAAGAAAAAATGTTAATTGCACTTGAAAAGCCAGCTAAAAAAAACAACAGGTAAAAAGACTTGAAGGTAAAGGATTGATGGATACAATTGTAAAAATGAACTTAGATGACTTTGTAAAAAATAGATCAAAATATGTATTTGAAGTGCTTGGAATAAGTTGGACATTTACGAAGGATCATTGCCTAGACATATGGAGTACAGTAACCGAATAGTAGGAAGCATACAAAATTGTTAATTCTATATAAGTTGTGAATGACACAGCCGAAAGAAAGGTGAAACTTTCAGATTACATAAAAATCTTGACAAAAGATGAAACTCAATTGCAATAGGTTTTACAAACTGTGGAAGAACATCGATGTCGAATTCCATATATGCGTAAGTCCACAATTGTGAAAAGAGAGAGAGAGGCATTGGCAGGACTAAATGACTGCACGAGCTATAAATAGCCTGTCTAAACCCGTCTTTGCAGGCTAAGCGGGCCGCCTGCCTAAATAGTCTTGCACTGGCTTTTTTGAAAAATTAAAATTATTATGTTTTGATCAAATTTTTTTTATTCTGAACTTTTATTTTGTTGATTCCTCATGCCAGGTACAGTAAAAATTTTAATTGTAATAATAAATGTTTTTTTAACAATAAAAAGACAGAAAAACAACTTGCAAAAAAAACTAAAGTTTTTATTTAAATAATTTTTTATATTTAATTTTTATATAATAATTTAGTATATTATTAAGTAATAAATAAAAAACAATACTCAAATGTTAAATTATAATCAATCATTCTAACAAAACAGCAATAAATAAAAAATATATAGTTGTTTTATAAAAGCGAATGATCTTAATATATTATTATAAAAGTTTATTTATTTCTCTTATTAAAAAGTAGGAGAGTGACAAATCATTTAAAAAGATTCTGGTGATTAAACTTAGTTGGATACTTGTAAAGTTGAGATAATAGTTTTTCAAAATTACACTGCAGTTTTTATTTTTCACTCAGAGTTATTAGTGTGCGCTCGACTTTGCGAGTTTTTGTTATTATAATTAATATATAAAATATGTAATTCATTATATAATATAAAAGTTATTACACAATAATGTAATAATTTCATATATATGAGTATAAGCAAAATAAAAAAAACAGCAGTTTACAATGTTGTTTGCACAAAATTTTTTAATGTTATTATTAGAGGAAAAAAAAGTAGTTTATGAAAAAAATATACTTTTACAAGAGCTTTAAATTGCTCAAGCTGTTATAAAAGCAGTGTGTGGTTTTTAATTGTTAATTAAAAGATTTTGTTAATTAAAATTTTCAGACTTATGTAAAAATAGGAATAAAAAAATATTTAAGGCAACCTATATATCATACATGTATGCAAATTGCATAATACAAAACACCTTTTTTTTTTGAATTAAGACCTGTCAACAGGTTGTTATTTAAAAAAAAAAAAGCAGTTTTATTAGGAAATTAAGGTATATTGATTTACAAATGTAATATCAACTATAATTTTTATAAGTTTTATAAATATTACGTGTATATAGGTTTCTAACAATAATATTTAATCTATGATTATTTCTAGGCTGTCTATTTGTGAACCATATTCATACTTTATCAGAGATGCCATTTAAATTTTTATTTTGTGGTAAAGCTGAAAAAGAAACAAATAATGTGTTGGATTACAGTCATAAAAACCTAATGAACGTCCCTGTTGATATTTACAATCATGTTCATACTTTGGAAGAATTGTATTTGGATGCAAATCAATTAAAAGAATTACCCAAGGTAAATAATTTTTGTTAAAAAAAATAAAATAGTTGGGCTTAATTTTTAAAGTATGTGATTAAATTTTTCATTAAAAAACAAACAAACATCTAATATTGTGTATATAGATCAACAATTGCAATATCTTCATAGCATACTTTTTTTTCAGAAAATATATATATATATATATATATATATATTTATATATATGTATATATATTTATATATATGTATATATATTTATATATATATATATGTATATATATTTATATATATATATATATATATATATATAAATATATATATATATATATATATATACATATATATATACATACATATATATATATATATATATATATATATATATATATATATATATATATATATATATATATATATATATATATATATATATATATATATATATATATATATATATATATATATATATATATATATATATATATATATATATATATATATATATATATAATGAAAACTAAATAATTATTAAGATATGTTTCAATTACATAACTAAAATTTTCATGCGATAGCGATCATCAGATGTAACAACAACAAAAAAGTAACAACAAATATTATATACAAAAAGTGCTATGGAGTTTCCGCTTTGATGACATTAAAGTTCTTTATTAGAAATTTATTTTCATGGCGGAATTTTGACGCAAGCTCAGTTCATTTGTTAAGCAAATTTAATGATGTAATAATGTGGTATTTTTCTGTCAAGCATAAATTGCAAAATTTACCACCAGGTTTGAATGGCTCTGCTTGATCAAGAACATTCCATTTTAATATAGGTTCTATACCTTTATTTTTGCATTCCCACACAAATTTTGTAAGTTCAGTGGAGTTGGCCTTACTTTCATAAACAAAGGAGTTTCTATGTTTATACCACCTGACTTTGAAAGTTTTCTCAGTAAGTCCAACGTAATAATATCCTTCTTCTTCTTGGTAAGTTTTTGCGTTGCAAATATAAATAAGATTTTTTGTAAGGCATTTTCCATTGAGTAGGCATAAGGTGGTTTGTCGACAATTGCATAATTGATTGGCATTTTCATGATAATTAAATATCTTTTTATTATGAGAAGTAATAATACTCTTGATGTTTGGAAGGCAGCTATAACTAACCTTTAAGTTGTTTTGATTAAAAAGTTTGTGAAATTTGTTGCCTTTAGGGAAACATTTATTAATTGTACTCAAAAATGTTTTGGTTACGTTTGTTCTGATGTTGAATGAATAAGGTGGGTTAAACCAGATAATTTTTCTTATTCGAGATTTTGTATTATATTTCTGGATATTTGGAATGAAACTGATCTTATCTTTGAATCCACAAGAATTAAGAGTGTTATTATAAAATGGTGTATCAAAAGCTTCTTTGCATGAAAATATATTACTGATGCGGTTAGAAATCATTTTTGGTATGGATTTAATAATGCTTGGTTGATAATTAAAATTGATGTTAATATATAAAGGATTATCTCCTGGTTTTATATTTTTATTCTAAGGTTTAAAAGAGTTCTTAGAAAGGTTATATGTGATATCAAGAAAATTTACTGTTTTTAAGTTTGGTTTGATAGTGATGTTAAGATTGTCTTTAAAAATTTTTATTAGATTTTTCTTTATTTTTTCCGATTGAGGACCACTGATATTATAGAAGCAGCAAAGTAAATGTAAAAACATTTAGTATTTTTACATCATCAAAATTTAATATCATCACACATAGATTATTAAAAAAAATTTATGACAAAACTTTAGAAAAAACATAAAGTATGTTAAAAAGTTTTTTAACTTACTTTACTTGAAAGTTGCTAAAGTTCTTTTGCTATTTTTCTTGAAATTTTTTTAATAATAAAAGTAAAGTATTTGACCAATGATAAATTGAAGGTTTAATACCAGAGTAAATAAATCAGATTATGCAATTAAATTCACAATAAAAATAATATTTTTTGATGATGCGTTTATTATCATATGACGTTGGAAAGTTTGATGACTTTTAGAACCATTAAAACTACTTAAATAAACTAACTATTAAAAGTTTTTATATAGTTAAAACTATATTTTGAATAAACTTTCATGTGCCTACTTCAAAACTCATCTTATTAATATTGACTAAAGCTTTTTGTTCTTCTGAGCAAAATTTTCTTCGAATAGTCTTCTACCACGTTATATATGGTTTCTATGAGAAGTCAGTAGCATGTGATTATATATGGTTTCCATGAGAAGTCAGTAGCATGTGATTATATTTGGTTTCCATGAGAAGTCAGTAGCATGTGATTACCTGAGACCGCATAAAGGACTTCCATTCATCAATATCAGCAATATTGCAACAGTAAACAACCAAAAGAAATAATAATCAATAACTTTGAAACCTTTCCTAGATGTCTATCAAGATATGCATGCCAGACTTTATCGAATGTCTTTGATATGCCAAGAGCATATCAAAGAGCATATCCCCTTCCCATACCACTACTTAATTGTATTTCTCTCATAACATTTAACAAGTCACCAGTAGAGAGAGGATTAAAATTCATATTGATTGTTGTAGAGGTCAGACTCCAGATAAAATAAAGATTATTTTTGCAATAATTTGAGAGGATTGTTCTTCCGAGGTTTTAAAAATTGGAACCACAGATACCATTTTCTAGCAGACAGGAAAACATGATTCTGACACTTGTTAAATAGTTCAGAGAGTAATGAAGTGGGTTCTGAATACCTTTGTAAGAATTTTATGATAGTATTATTTTGGACCACTAGAATGGAGTTAAAGTGAGAAGGACCATTAGAGAGGAATTTTATGACAAGTTTTTATGACAGAAATAGAGGAGTTTTTGACTTGAGAGAAACAACTTAAGCAATTGAGTAATTTAGAGGTCGATGGATTTACATTTCTAACAATGCATTAATCTGCATGTCCAACAATGGATTAATCTGTTTCTTTAGGATGACAGGAAGAGTTTTTAGATTCAAGTGAGGATAGAGATAGAGTTTGAAATTTAGAGGATAAGTTAAAAATATATAATAATTAATTATATATAAGTTAGAAGTAATACATTAGAGTATAAGTGAATAGTTCTTATCCTTAGGAGAAGTATTAAAATCAGATTTGTTAATGATACAGTCAAAATTTCGGAAGGTTTATAGAAACTGATTTCTAAGATAGAGTTCAAAATTTAGCAATCAAAGAATAATGAACTTTAGCATCAGACAATATCTTTTTGCATCAATTTTCTACAATGACAAATATTCTCCATAGAGTGGTTTTTGTTGAAAAGATGAAAAAAATAATTGGGAATAAAAGCTTCCAAGTGTGTCTAAATCCAGGAGATTATAACAGAAGCACAGTGAGGCATAGAGGTGAAAGACATCAATCCAAGGATCCCCTATAGATAGTAGTACAAAAAAAGAATAGTACGAATATAGAATTAATAGTAAGAATAGTAGTAAAGGTGATAGTACAAAGTGCCTAATAAACAAAACAAAAAAGTTATTGAGAAGCAGTGCTAAGCAAAGGCACATATAAGAATAATTATGTTATAAAAAAGTAAATTGATATGTAAGTCCCCAGGCCATGCACATGACTATTGAAGTCTTTGCAAAACTTTTGAAGGTTTTGCAAATTAAAGGATAAAATCCATCAACACTAAGAACATAAAATGAATCAGCTGAATTGAAATTAGTTTCACAAAAAACAAGTAGGGCTTAGGAGTTTGCAAAAGGTAAGTCTCAACAGATGATACTTCTAAGAAGTTACAAATCTTTGTAAAGCAAAGAATGAAACAATTTTGTGGTGATATTTAGTTTTTGTTTTTTTTTTGTTTTTGTTTTTTGAGTACTTTTGTTTCTAATTAATAGAGAGTTTGGCTCAATCATAAATAGTGTATTATACCAGAAGCAAAAAGCTATGTAGTTGATTTGATTAGATCAAATGAAGAAATCGTTAATAAAAAATAAAAAAAATAAAAAAATAAAATACTTTTTTTTATTATAACTTTTTTGTAATTATATTTTTGTATAAAAACATATAACAGCTTATTGTTATGATCATTTTAGCAGATCATTCACTAACCTTATGTAAATCTAAAGTTTTTTAGAAAATTTAGTAATTATCTTGAAAAACTAGAATTTTTTTTTTTTCTGTTAATTTATAACTAAATTATAACTTATTAAAATTTTTATTTAAGCAGTTAATTATTACCATTGTTGTCTAGGCTTTATTTACACTGCAACATTTGAAGCTTTTTAATATTAGTGATAATGAAATTGTTGTGCTGCCTTCGAATATTTCAAATCTTTCACATCTCCTAGAGCTTGACATTAGTAAAAATGGTTTGTTGTATTTATATTTTATTTGAGTACAACCTAATACCCTGTGTGGGTATTATGTCTTATTTAATTACTTTATGTAAACTTCAGTGTTACATAGAACTCATTTTCAAAGGTTTTCTTGAGTTACCTGATGATATCAAGGGAATGAAGTCTTTGCAGAGTTTTGATTGTAGCGTAAATCCAGTTGGAAGGTTTGTTTACATTTATGTCTAAGTAAGAATATTCTTTTAAATATTATTTCATGTAAAAAAATTTATTTAAATAAAAATATGTGGTTAAATTAATTATAATATTAATATATATGCATATAGAGGGCATGCATATGATTAAATGTAACAACTAAGAAAAAACATATGTAACTTGATAATTTATACTATATTAAGACTAGTTTATTGTTTAATTGCTAAAAACATATTTTATTAAGTTTATTTTTAGTTGCCCTATTAATCACACATGATGACATTTATGTAATCACATATATCATAATGTATATGAGTAAACAGATTTTTTTTTCTTTTTAAGTATTTACCTCACCAAGGTACTTGGTGAGGTAACTACAGTTGAGGAGGCTACTCATTTTTTTTTAATTTTTTGTTGTAAACCGTGGTACAACCCTCTCTCAACTCTTTTACTCCGAAACACGAACCTTGACAAGCAAGACCGCTGCGCGGAGAAATTAAGTTGAGCGCCGTACTTCCAGGGACGTGGTGGGAGTCAAACTCCAAACTTCTCGCTTACAAAGCGAGCGCTCTTATCTCTACACTACTACCGCATAATATGGCTTTTTTGTGATCACATATATCACAGTATGGCAATTCATGCTTAATTACTAATCAATAATGATTACATAAATTCTACTAACTTCCAAAATTTAAATTTTTTCAGACATGAGGCTTTTGATTTGTTTTTTTTATTTAACAAAGGTAACAAAGGTAAAATAATCAGCAATTTTTATATTCATAAATTGGTAATTACCTTATCTTTGCTACCTGTAACTATCAGTCAACCATCTGTTTCAACTAATTGGATGTAAGGCAATCCCTAAACTGACATTACAATAATAACACATTTTTGTGAAGATATACATGATTTTATTAACTTTACATAACTACATTAGAAATAAATTATTATAATAGTTATACATTTATTTGTAATTATATAATAACATTGGTAAAATTTGGTTGTAAAATTTATAGTTTGCTTTTATGTCAAAATAATTTTTAATATGTTGTAGTATGTTTAATATGTTGTATGTTGCTAAAATTATAAAATTACCTTTTATATTTACTACTGAAATAAATATTGATTTGAGTTTAAAAAAACTAATAGTACAATATTTCAATGGGATGTATTGATAATATACCGAGTGTTTTCAGGTAATGTATAGAGTAGAATTAGTACCTGATTTGTTAGCGTCATTACTTAGGTGACAGATAAATCTTTGTGTGTACAAGTTTAAATTGTTGATTTTGCTATTCTATTAAATTTGAAAGTTAGATGTGAGTAATTGTTCTGGTGTAGAAGTTTGATTAGATGGTTTGGGAATACTCAATATTTGTTTAAGCGATGTATACAGCAGCAAAATGTTCCTTAATTGGAAGGGTACCATAGTTGGTTGCATCATCAGGATCAATACCAGCTGCTTGTAAAAGACAGTTTTGAAAAATCTTGGATTTAGTTTTATTGGTTGTGGAGATGAGGACAACTTTATTGTAGGTAAAATGGCTGAGGCAAAAAGCAACGTAAGCAGATATATGCATAGATTTAGACCATCCTCCAAATATTCTGCTTTGCTTAAAAAGAGGCAGTTTTATTATACATGCTTGACCATTATTTTTTAAGTTTTAGACTTGAGTTGAGGTTGATACAAAAGTATTTGTATGAGTTTTTAACTTCAAGAATTTTTTTCTTTAATTTTGTGACGGGTTTTGCACCTTGGCCAATATAACTTTCGATTTGGCTATGTTAAAAAAATATTTTGTTATCATTACGCCATTGTTTAAGACTATCTGCTACTTGTGGAAGAGAAGAGTTTTTACCAGTTATGTAAGCTAAGATATCATCTGCATATTTTTTGTGGGTAATACATGTCGGCAGATTTATTTCATACTGCAAAAATAATAAATAGTTATTTGAAAAAGATTTTATCATTAAACTTAATAAGACAGTATAATTTTAGGTTTTTAAATAAATTTATTTTTAGGGTATTTATAATTTTTATCTATTATTTATTATTAGATTGTTTAATAAATTTATTTTTTTGCCAATAAACATTTGACAACAAATTACAAATTGATACTTGACAATCAATAACAAATTTAGTAACTGTATAGTGTTAATAAAAATAATATTTTTAAAAATTCTTTACATTAAATAACCAATCAAAACTGACTTAATAAAAACGGTTTTTCAAAAATATTTTAAGTTTATTTTTGTTGTCATTATACAGTTGATCATATTTATATATAAATAATTAAGTATTAGTAAATTATTGTAAATATAACATAAATAAAAATCTCAAAAGTAGAATATTAAATAACTATTTAATATTCTACTTTTATATTATATGTATTATAATTTACATGTATTTATATTATATAGTGCATTACATGTATTTATATTATATAGTAAGTTATATAGCGTCACTTATAATTGTGTTTATGTCACTGACATTGTTCTCATTGTTTTACTGACTCTAATTCACACAAATTAAATGATGCTGCAATGTGTTTTTAAATGGTTATGTATTGCATCTTTGATAAATTTACATAGAAACATAATGTTGTAATGTGACTGTAAGTATACACTCAAAGAAAATTGTGTTTTTAAATGTCTTTGTAGAAAGTTTTATCTTTTTAATTAAAGTTCTTAACATTCATTGATGCTATTGGGATTTATTTATTTTATTTCATTATTATAATGATGTTTTATGCACACACAAAAAAATATTATTACATATGGAAATATAAGAATTTATTAATGTTTTTATTAGAATGCCAGATGGATTTACAATGTTGTTAAACCTAACTCATGTATATTTGAATGACTGCTTTTTGGACTTTTTACCTGCAAATATAGGAAGGTTTGTTAGAAGTTACCATATAGGCTTTTTAATTCAATTATTTTATTTTGATAGTAGTTGTATTATTGTTATTTTTTTATCTTTATTCTGTTACTATTTATATATATTTTTGTTTATTTACTTTTAAATCTATATTTAACTATTTTTGATCTATATTTCAGAATGATAAAACTTGAAGTATTAGAAGTGCGTGACAATCATTTGACCATGATCCCAAAGTATAATTCATATTTTGTGCATATATAAGTTTGAAAATATATTTTATAGTGTTAAATTTTTTAAAGTTTTAATAAATTTTTTGAATCTAGATCAATAAATCGCTTAAAAGATTTGCGGAGGTTTGACCTTGGTCATAATGAGTTTTGTGAACTAGTATGTATTTTTTATTTAAATTTTTTATATTTTTTTATATTCATATGTATATATGTATATGTGTGTGTGTATATATATATATATATATATATATATATATATATATATATATATATATATATATATATATATATATATATATATATATGTATATACAACCCTCGCAATTAGGAAAAATATGGTCGGCAGTAACTTGCCGATCTCAATCTTTTTGAGGTCGGCATCAGGTGGGCAAAAATTATTTCATACAAAGGTCTGACCATAAAACAAAGAAACAAGGTCAGCAATTTTTGCCGACCTCAAACACTTTCAGGTGGGCATTTCCGAGGGTTGATATATATATATATATATATATATATATATATATATATATATATATATATATATATATATATATATATATATATATAACGTCTGTTCACAAAAAATCTGGAATGAAAAATTGTTCTTAATTGAATACAAAATTAATCAATTTTTGACAAAAATTTTAACTAAAATGAGAGACTGGACATTAACTATTTTATAACCGAAAGTGGTCCTAAATCAGCGGCTTTTCGAACTTTAGTTTTGACTAAATCCATTAGGTTGAAAAAGTAGTCTGGATCGAACTCTTTCAACTTTAATCGAATTCTATTCTTAAGATGGTCAAGATTTTTTGCAGTAAATCCATTTCCATAAACTTTTGCTTTTAAATGTGCCCAAAAATTTTCAATTGGCCTTAACTGCGGTACATTTGGGGGGTTATCTTTAGCGGGGACAAAGTTAATACCTAAAGTGTTGAAGTTTCTAATGTGTGTTTTGCATAATGACATCTCGCCCCATCAGGCCAAAATAAAGTTTTCATGTCTTGATGCTTGGAATTTATAAATGGATGAAGTCTTTTTGTAATACATTCTTTAGAATAAGTTTTTTGCATCCAGTAAGATTCATCGTCCACGATGATTTCAAACTCATTTGATGGCTTGAAAAAAGTTTTTGAAAGTTTTAGTAAGTTTTTCTTTTGTTTAATTTCTTGCTTTTCTGTTGTTTTTGGTGCATTTTTTCTTTTGGTATACTTCAGTCTATGCATACTTAATAATCTATTTACATAATAAACTCTTATCTTATATTTTAGTGCCAATTTTCTTTACAAAATCCAGATTCTCTCTTCTGCTCTTGCAATCATTGACTCAATCTTTCCTGGTGTGATTTTAAAAGGTTTTCTGCTGCAACCGATTTTTCTTTTCATTGGCAAATTATTTTCAGACCTTTTAATTATGTCATAAATAGTAGATTTAGCAATTCCCATTTTCTTAAAATGATCCACTGTAAATTTCTTTCCACTGTTTATGTTTTGTTTATAAAAGTTTCCAATCACATTTCTAACATCGTTCTCTTTTAGATGCTCCATGTTTATTTGAATTAATTATTTAAACTCAATTTTACCACAAAATGAAACTGTTGTTGTTGCCGATTAAATTTAAAAATTTCGAATCGAAAATTCAAAATTTAGAACAATTTGTGCACATTTGAAATCAGTCCAGATTTTTTGTAAACAGACGTTATATATATATGCAGTTATGTATTTATGCATATATATATATATATATATATATATATATATATATATATATATATATATATATATATATATATATATATATATATATATATATATATATATATGTATGTATATATGCATATATATATATGTATATATGCATATATGCATATATATATATATATGTATATATGCATATATATATATTTATATATGTATATATGCATATATGCATATATATATATATATATATATATATATATATATATATATATATATATATATATATATATATATATACTGAGGCTTATTCGTTTAGACGCATCAATTTTTTTCTCTTTATCTTAATTTTTTTTAATGAATTGTCAACTGATATGCATGCAAGTTATTATCAAAATAATTGTTGTGTTGTGGGCTAATATAAATCACACAAAAATTTTTTCTATGTGTCTTTATTAACATGAGAGTATGTTTGAT